TGACCTGACTCATCGCTTCGTTTTACTACCAGTTACTGTATTTTGCTCCAGCTAATTTTCACTGAATATTAGAGGAGGTCTAGCGTTACGGAAAATCTGACCTGAGCAAATTAAGATTTTCATATTGTAAAATTAATATTATTTTTAAATGATCTCTTTCTACCTAAGAAGAAGAAACTCAGAATTATAAAATATAGCTGAAAAGAATTTAGCAATCATTTAGTCCAATAACCAGATAACATTAAGATAGAATTTTCAGTAGAGCTGAAAATATAAAGTTCATCATATTCTAAAGGACTGTGTGTCAGTTCAGGTTTTCTGAGAAGCAGATGCCACATGGGATTAGAGGTAGAAGAACTTTTAGGGGAAAAAAGCTTGTCAAGGACAAGGGGAAGAAGTAAGAATAGGCAAGGCAGATGTTGAAACCATTGTGCAATTCTGATGCTTGTGACAGAGAAGAGGTAAAGAAAAATTAGACAGGAAGAACTTTATTCTATAATTCACTTCCAAGTAATTTTCAGCCAGGATGCTGGGACTATTCTTATAGAATTAGCAAATAAAAATGTAGGATGCCCAGTTAAATTTGAATTTCAAATCAACAGATAATGTTTAGTGTAAATTTCTCCAAATATTGTATGCATATTTTCACAAAAAAATACTAATTGCTAATCTGAAATTCAAATGTAATTGGGTTCCCTGCATTTTATCTGGCAACCCTAATTACAGGAATTCCCTGTCAGGTAAGAATGAACTAGCACTAGTACACACCCTTGCCTGGGAATGAGTAAGTGGAGCCTTGATGTAAACATTGTAATAAAAAAGGCAGCAGATGGGGCTGTCAGTCAACTATTCTCCTCACAGTAGGTGATCTTGAAGATTTGAGCAGCATAATTGCATGACTGCCACAAACTTGCTAGACAGCACATGCAAAAATTTGCAGCACTTAGTATGCATATCCTAAGGTTTGGAGACACCTAGTGGTCTAGTGCTTCATTCTTGCCAGAAAAACAAAGAGCTCGTCTGAGCTGGCCAGCAGGTAATGGATGGATGGAAAAGGAAGGAAGTGACTACTTTGAAACAACTGCCCATTCCGTTTTTATCCTGGCAAAGAATGTGTAGGCATTTTCTGTGAACCAAGGGTAGGCCAGAAAATGACATTTGCCAGTGTAGGGTGATATTTCCATCATCTTTGAATCTGCCCATCAAAGATGACTGCCTGATGCAATGACTGAACCTGGAGTAGAGACTAGTGATATTGTCGTATAAATAGGACAAAACCAAACCAGAGATGCATTACTTAAATCAGCAGGCACATGTGACAGGTCCTAATTAAGAGGTTATCTCCAAGAGCAAAATCTATGAGTCACATCTGATGTGGCAACAAATGGCACCCAGATCTCAATGGTTTATAATAAGAAAACATATTTCTTGTTCTTACATAATGACTGGACTCTAAGACCTCAAAGGTTTTTTCTTTTTCATTTTTTTTTTTTGTGGTGCCAGTTACTGAACCCAGGGACACTGAAACACTAGGCCACATCACAGCTTGCTTATTTATTTATTAATTTATTGATTAATTTATTTATTTAAGATAGGGTCTTGCTAAGTTGCTGAGGCTGGCTTTGAATTTAGGACATAGGATCCTCCTGCCTCAGCCCCTCAATCTGCTGGAGTTACAGATTTGCACCACTGCACCAAGATACAAAAGGTTTTTCATCTGTGTGTCTTATCATTCCAGAATCCAGACTGGAAAAAAAGAAATACTAAGAATACACTGTTCTCATGGCAGAAAGCAGAATCTTGGAGGGTGAGATGAAACACACATACCTTATAGAGCTTCAACTCAGGGCTGCCACATCTGCTCCAACTGATGTTCAAAGCAATCTGTGTGTCCCAAACCAAAGTCATTGGGATGAATTGTCTCTTGGAAGCCACAAAGAAGTCCCATAGCAAAAGGTCACTAATATTAATGAATAGTTGTATACCAATAAAGAGACACCTATTTTGGATTTTAAGGGGTTGAAATGTGTCCCCCATCTTGAAAACAATATGATGGAGTCCTAATCCTATTCCCAGTACCTCGGAATGGGATTTTATTTAGAAACACTGTCTCTACAGATACAAGCAAAGTAAAATGAATGCATAAGTGCTATAATCCAATATGACTAGTATCCTTAAAAAAGAGAAATTTTGGATACAGCAACACATGCCAAGTGAATGCCAGATGAAGATGAAGATATTCACAGGCAGAGGTTAAGGTGATATGTCTACAAGCCAAGAAATAAAAATGCCAATGTCTGCCATAAGCTACCAGAACCTTGAAGAAAAGCCTGAACCAAATCCTCCTTCTCAGGGCTGAGAAGGAACCAACTTGGTCTCAGATGTCCAGCCTCCAGAGCCATGAGAGAACACATTTCTGTTGAGCCCATCCATTTTGTAATACTGTGTTACAACCATCTAGCAAACTAGACAAGAATAGTAATCTAATATATCACTAATCACCAGGAGAAAATATTAGCTTCAAAACTCTGCCAACTGCAGAAAGTATCCAAGCCTGATCATCTTTTCAGCCCACCACAAAAAGGAATGATCATGCTCCTCTCCTCTTATTCTTCTTGACACTCCAGCCCTTGAGAGAACAGTAACAATAACACTCCTGATCAGTCTGGGAGAAGCCTCCCATGTACATCAGATTCAGAGTTTTGGTTACTCCACAAAATGCACAATGTTGTTACTAAATTAAGTTTGTTCTGTGGCTTATAGTGACCAGAAGACTTTGTAATGTGACTACATTATAAAACCTAATAGTCTGAGATGTCCTGGGTAATATTGAAGAGTTTTATTCAGGGGGAAGGAAAAAATTATGCCTTCTAGCAGTTTTAAGGAAACAATGAGAAACCAAAAGTAAAGTAGCTATAGTTATATTCAAGAGTTGTGCTTGTTTGAAGAAACACACACTTATTTTACAAATTAAGAAACTTTGACTCAGAAGAATGTAAATGAATTGCTTAAGGTCAAACAGCTAATTAGTGGCAGAGCTGGGACTAGATCCAGATTCTTCACATTCTCTGTTTAATTTCCACTAAACTCTGCTGACTTATCTTGTACACTTTAGAATTATTTTTAGAATATCAGAAGTGCCTTCCTTTTATGTAGCCACATTAGAAGAGAGTTTTGCTGTTTCTTAAAATGTAAAATATAGAATAACCCCATGACCTAGCACTTCCACTCCTCATTAAATATCCAACAGAAATAAAAATATGTCTTCACGAAAATGTGAATACAACTCTTCATGGAAGCAGTATTTTATAACAGTCAAAAGTCTGGAACCATCCAATGTCCACGAACAGATGAACACAAAATATAGTCACCACGTAATAGAATATTATTCAATAATAAAAAGGAATGAAATTTTACTGCATGCCACAATGTGGATACTTCTTAAAAATCTTATGCTAAATGAAAACGCAGGTCATTACAGATCACACATTCTATGATTCCATTTATATGAAATATCCAGAAGTACAGACAGAAGATTTCATGAACAGGAAAAATGTGAGTAAAAAGGGTGACTTTTAACAGGAATGAGATTTCTTGTTCAGAATGATTATAACATTCTAAACTTACTGATGATTGTACAACTCTGCATATACTGAAAATCACTGAAATGTGCAATTTAAATGGAAAGACTTTATAGGATAATGAAACATATCTTAGTATGGATATGCATTTTTATAAAAATTATAATCATTCCATATTTTAACATATATTTTTCATGAAAGAAACAGAAATATTGGAATCTTTTACAAATTTTAATCTTCCCACAGTTCATTCTCTCTTGGTCTGTAACTTGGACAAAACCTTAAAACAGACTCAGCTGAACGTGTATTATTTGGTTCAATAAAGATTTGACTCACTACAAACACAGGAAGGGCAGCCTATCAGTTTATATAGAAGAAATTACACTGAGCTTTTCACACTAAAGCCAGTATTTTCACCACTCCAACAAATGTTAGTGAACCTGAATTTATATCTTGCCCTCTTTACCAGCTCAGCAACTCATATATTCACGTCTCATAACTTAGCCCTTAAAAGCCTTACTCTCAGCAGACATCATTGATGAGTTAAGGCTTAAGATGTGATATTTTAACATTTGAAGAAATAATGACCTTTAGATACCCAAAAGAATGTGAAATGGTAATTCTTTCTCCTTCTTTTCTTCAAAAAACTGTCACAGTCACGGGAGGATAGTACATAATCTTAAGAAGTATACTTTCAAAATATCATATCTGTTTATTCACCAAGTTATGAAGATTAACACTTTCTATAATTTGATATATATCTGTAGATAGTAAAATATTATGAACATAAATCACGGCAGAAATGTTTTGAAAATTAACACCATGAAATTCAATCATCTATGATATCTTAAATCCACAATGAGATCCTTACAACTTTTTCTCCTCAAGGAGAAGGTCATCCAGGAGAAGCTTCTAAAGGACTTTGTAGGAAATCTTAGTGACAAAGGTACATAAAATATACAGAAGGTAGTTGGCAAAGTGTACTGGAAAGGTATTCTAAAATCAATACAGATAATGTAAATAATTTTACTGACTAAAAATACCTCATATGTTTATTATGAAGATATTTTTAGATTCTGTTTGACCTTGATGTGTTTTTATCAACATTGATTGCTATTACCAGGGCAAAATTCTTCTTTCCCTTGGTTCTGTAACCTTACACTATGTCTTTTCTAGGAGTATATTTTTCTCTGCGTTTCCTTTCACTTGTTCTTCCATTTTCTCTCTCTGTTTCCTAATGGTGTTCTAACAAATTGCGGTAAGAATCAGTCCTTAAAATAGCACAGATATACTCTCTTACAGTTCTGGTAGCCAAAAGCTCATAATCAGTTACTGTCCCCAGCCAGCATAGGCAGCCAAACTAGGGTCGCTCTAGTGAATTTCCTAAGGTACCAAATAAAACACAGACACACAATTTACCTTTAATTCAAGCCTCGGATGGCTCCTCTGCCCTTGGCCTCAAGCTTCCCAAATGGGAGAGTGAGGAATGTCACAGGAGAGGCTGAAGAGAGGGTGGGGGAGAGGGAGTGAGAGGGAGTAAGAGTGCTAACACGTTTGGGATTGGTCTTTTATTGGGGGCACTCTGATTCTTTAGAAATTTCCATTCAATAAAGGTCAAGAGGGGTGGGGTTACAAGGACAGGTAAGGTAACTCGACCCCTGGGGCTATAGGAAGGCATGTCTATGCATGAAGACACTTTTGGGACATTTTTACGACTTCCAAGATGAGGCCACCATCTAGGGCCACTTGATATGGCCAGATCACAGGAAGTGACTGACACAGCCTCACCAATCAGGGAAGGAAAATGCTGGTCACATGGCATGTTGGCCTCCCACAAGACTAGACTGGGTCCTTCTGGAGGCTCTGAGAATCTGGAGGCCTCCCACATCCTTTGGCTCCTAGACTGCTTTCTCCATCTTCAGGCCACTGATGGAGCATTTTTAAATCTCTCAGTGTCCTGCTTATTTTTACATCACTTTGTCTGTGACTGACTCTTCCCATGTCTTATGTTCCTCTAATAAGGGTGCTTGTGATTGCAATAAACCTACCTAGATCATTCAGGAAACTCTCTTCATCTCAAGATCCTTAACTTAACCATGATGCAAAGTCCTTTTCTATACTAGGCATATATTCACATATTTCAATAATTAAATCTGGGTAAAAATGGGGGTATTTACTCAGCTTACCACACTTTCATTTCCTATATATCCTATTATCTAACTTGCAACTAGAGACACTTTTTTTACATGTTGCTATAAGTTATAAATTTAGTTTCTTAGTCTGGTCCAAATACACTGGATAAATATAAAAATAAATTATTAAATAATTATGGTGACAGCAGTCATCCTGTGATCCTCATATTAAAAACTTGCATCTAGTATACTTCCATTAAGTTGACTGGATCACCGGATTGGGGTAGAAAAATAATAGAGAGAAGCCACATTGAACAAGAATATATTATAGTATGCTTCATTCAGTGCTTTCTGTGAAAAGATGTTAAATCATAATATATGTACTATCAGGATCTACAAAATGGCCCTATAACTTATATCAATGGATTTATTATATGGTAGATAATTGTAACTGGATTTTCTATCAAAAAATTAAAATTCCTTTTAGCATACCATTTGTTTTAGCATACCATTTGTTTTCTTTTTTTGTGGTGCTGAGGATCCAACCTAGGGTCTCATTCATGCTAGGTAAGTACTCTAAACTAAGCTATACCACTTACCCAGAATTCTGTTTTCTATGTTTTGTTCTTTTTTGAATTTTAAATGTCAATATTTTAGTATTTGGGCATTGATCACTGGTTTCCACTGTGTGTGTACGTGTGGGCCAATAAAAGACTTTAGAGGATTGCTTTCCCTTTCTGTATTCTAGAACAATAGAAAAGCATAAGCACTTTATATTTTTAAAGTTTTTTGCAGAATTTCCTTGTGAAATCTAACCATTGCTTTTTGGTACTGGGGATTGAATCCAGAGACTCTCTAATACTGAGTGACTATCCCAACCTTTTTCTTTTGAGACAGAGTCTTGCTAACTTGTTGAGACTGGCCTGAAACTTTAGAACCTCCTGCTTCAGCCTGCTGAGTTTCTGGGATTACAGGAGTGTGCCACCTGGCTCAACCATGACTTGTTAAACATAGTTCTTTAATAAAGTTTACTCTGTGGTAAACTAGTCTACTTAGTCATCTTTACTGTGGTCCAATAAATTATGTTTTTATACATAACCTCTAGAGAAGAGTTTGTTTCATTTATGTCATTTTATTATATGGGCATAGATTTGTCCAAAACAGAATGTTAGTTTTTATTAAATAAAATACCAAACTTGGGATTACTAATAATGAAACAGAATATGTGCCTTTTGATTCTCACCAAAAACATTTAGTCAAATTATCAATGAAGAAACAATGTCTTTTAATGTAGAACATTCTATAAGAAAATTGGTCTGACATCCTCAAAAAGGTCAATATCAATGAAAGACACCCCTTTCCATCAAATGCATGTATAGAGACAATCATTATTCTTGTATTAAAAAAAAAAACCCAAATGGACATGGCTGACAATAGAAGGTAATGTATGAATTATTTATTCTGGAACAAATTATTTATTCTGGAACAAAAAAATACACACATAAGAGCAAAATTTTATAATGATCACTTAAGTAAAATTATGAAAACTGAATATGGACTTACATCAAATAAAATAAATACTGAATCAAGTGAGATTTCTGGTATTCGGTCATAGTAACATAGTAAGATTTGTCTTCTTAGGAGACACATGCTGGAAGTTTTAGGTGGTAAAGAGTCATGATATCTGATAATTACATTTAAAGATACACACACACACACACACACACACATAGATTCAGACAAGACAGAGAAACTAAACACGCCATATTTGTTAGCCCCTCATAAACTTATGTGCAAAGTGTTTAAGTTTTCATTTAATATTCTTTTATCTCTTTTATGGCTTTAAAATTTTTCAAATAAATATTTGGGGAAAAATATTCCCTGATGGTAAATTTCAAAACAAATCCTCTCATGGGATAATGATTTGACTTTTGCCACTTCTTAATTTGCATAATTTCTCACTATTTCTTTCAACTTGATTAGGCCAAGTAGGGGTTCATCTCTTCTTTGCTTTTGAATTATCAGATTTTAAAAATTGTTTTTAGGTGTAAGTAACTAAAACTTCTCTTTCTTTCTCATTATTTTATGATTATTAATTCCTTCCTATTTATTTTATCTGGCATTGTGTATTTATTTATTGCAGTGGAAAAACAGAATACAGAAATTATTTTGAGAAATAAGAATTCTGACATTTCAAATAATACTTTGTATGTTCAATGACATTCAATTTATACAAGAAAAAATTTCAAACCTTGTGACTTAAAAAAGCTTTCGAATTATGTAAGTCACAAATTTTGAAATTTAAACACTTCTTTTCATTGTGAATATGCTCAAGTATTTTGAGCCTTCTCATAAATTTGCAAGCCATTTTAGATTGTAATATACTCTTCCAGAACATTCAAATATACATGTTTTTTTTTTGTGATCGTTATTGTTCAACATTTCCCCATATAATTTTATTAGCTTATCTCATCTTGAGGTTCAATAACACACTGCTAGATTAGTTTTTAAAATAAAAATATAAAAACAAGAAGATGATACTCTATTTTTACCTGAGAGAACTTAAAAAATGGAGTTTTATCTTCTTTCTTTATAAATATCTTTCAAAAATAAGCCTTGGAGAACTCCATATCATATTATTTGGGGAGTAATAGGGCTATTTTTGTTTGATCAAAAGATCTATCCTCCTGACACAACTGTTCATATTGCTTAGACGCATTTCAACATTTTTGTTTGTTTTGGTTCTTTGGTCCATTTTATCTTCAAGTAACCTGACAATCCATCTTCAAAATCTATACCTCAATTCCAAAACAAAGATAATTTGTGCCAATTATTTCTAAATGGGATTCTTATTCCTTTATCACTTATGTCTTTTGTCCCCCCCCCACTAAAGTCAGTGTTATACATTTAATGTTAAAGTAACAAAATATTGGTTGATTTTTAATGTTCTGCTCTTAATCATTTATATCTGGAGTATAATCTATTTAATTGGACCTACTTTTTTGCTGGTATAATTTGCTTGCTGACTTAATTATTATACTTTTGATATAATTATTATTATACTTTTGGATTCAGAAATAAAAGCAACATGGAGATAACATGGATAGGGATTTTATGAACCGAGGTTCTAGGAAGACTCCATTATTCAAATAATCTTCTATTATTGATTAACTCAAATGCTCTGACACTGTTGTTTGTTACCTATAACATCATTTAATAATTGGTATGTTGACAGTGATATCTACTGTGTGTAGAAATTTTTTCTAAAAGCTAATTTTGGTGGAAAAGATAGAGAATGTAAAAGGCCTGAATACTTATGATATAAATGATGGAGAAAAGTAACACAGAAGAATGAGAAAATGTACCAAATCATTTTTATATTTTAGTTAAGCTACCAACAGGAAGAAAACAGCATGATGAAAAGGAATAAATGAAGAAAGTATAAAGAAGGGAATATTTACAAATTTGTGTGCAGGAATTAAGTAAACTAATGACAGAAAATAGTTATCATTCCTAGATCTGGAGGGATTAGCTGAAGGGAAATCCTCATAGCTTGCTGGGCCTACCAGTTCAAATCACCAGAGACTGGGTGGTTTAAACAATAGAAATTTTTCTCACAGTTTTCCATGATAGAAGTCTGCAAACCCAGAGTGGGTGGAGTCCTTCTGAGGACCATGAGGAAAGAATGTGTTCCAGACCTTTCTTCTAAACTGGTGGATAACTGTCTTCTCCCTGTGTCTCATCTTATCTCCTCTTTCTACATTTACCAGATTCCCAGAGAGCTATAGCTGTAGGAAACTGGTTGCCTAAGAGAAGCCCTAAGTATGGGAATGATGCTTAATGGGTAACTCTATCCCATTAAGAAAGGATCCAGGGATAGTGCTACCCTACATTTTGTCATTCCTGTCCTCTGATCTCTTAGGGTTTACAAAGCCCAGCTGGAAATACACAGTAGAGAGCCTATATGGTTTCATTCTTTGAAGCTGGTCTTTCAGAGAATAGAACAAGTAGAAAAAGAAGAAGGGTGGATTTGAGGTGGCCAAAAGAGATTATCTAGCACAACTTAACAACAGAGAAGTAACTCTTGGACCAGAGTTCAGGAAAAAGGGAAGAATAGTTGTATAAGGGGATCTGTGATTTTTTTTAATAAATATCCTTTCAAAACCAGGTTCTGAAATGCCTTCAAACAAAATTAAAGGACTAGAAGGTGAGAATCAGAGCAAAAGTGAATTACAATTACTTGAAAAAGTCTCTTTTATTAATGGGCTACATGAAAAGCAATCCATGAATTTTTGGTAGTATTCACTTTAAATTAAACTATATTTAGGCCCCAAAGTTATCTGACACAACCAAAGAAAACATCTATGAATCACTACCTGATCCCCTT